AAACAAGGGGGGGGGTTGTTCACCTTTTTTTTTTTTTTAAAAAAAAAAAACCAAAAAAAAAAAAAAAAAAAAAAAAAAAAAAAAAAAAAAAAAAAAAAAGATTGCTTTTCTATGTTTTTGCTGCAAAGTGTGAGAGGGAAAAAAAGATATGTTTGTTTGTTGTTGTTTTTTCAAGTTGTTAAATCTCCAATTTCACTTTGGTTCTGCTCTGCAAGAATGTAATCATCTAATTTGCTTTCTGATTGTTAATCATCATGTTGTGTTCCACAAAATAACTGCATTGCATGATACTCAAATACCCAGAAATCCTTTGCGCTGGACGCAACTTGACATTTCCATTTTTAAAAGTTAAGGACAGGTGCATCTCTCTAAATTAGTACATCAACAAAAAGTTAATTTATTTCAGTAAGTAAATTCAAAGAAGTAAATACAGTGTAAACTTGTACACTGCATAAATTAATTACACTCAAAGAAATGTGTTCAAAGCATTAAACTCAGGAGGTTTTAATAAGAAATTATCAGTCTTCTGAAAGTGTATCCATGGTATATGTAGTCAGTATTAGGTCAGGGCTCCTTTTGCTTGAATTTCTGATTCAATGCAGCAGAACATAGAGGTGTTAATACTCTTGAAGAACAGTCTGTTTCTTTTGCAATGACTGATCATCAAATTTCAACTTTGTCATAGGATTTCAAGGACTTTAAACTATAATCATCAAAATTAACACAAACTTGAAATATATTTCTAATAAATCTATACGGTACATGGGTTTTACTTTGCTAAAATTAAAAGCACTTGGAATTGCCTTGTTGCTGAAAATGTGCTATATATACAAAATTACCTTACTTAAAATGCATCAACTTTTTGATGATTTACAAGTTTGTTAAGATGCACCTACTGTTTTTTTTCCCTTTACCCCTGGTTCTCCACCAGCCACTGATGTGTTTTTCTGACGGTCTTTCATTCATTAAAGGACGTCGCAATAATAATATTGATATTTGGAACTGGCCATAGTCTTTGCTAAAAGCTTTTGAATTTGTGCACAGACCTTGTGCTTCATCTGGCAATTCATGTAGCTAGATGTAGCTTTTGTCCATGTAAAGAAAGCGACCCAGTTTGACCGCAGCCTTAGTTCCAATTCATAACTGCTCCATTGATCATGCTGTCATCACACAGAGAGAGTAGCAAACATGGCTTTCCTTCTTCCTATCACTGGGACCAGATGGAAATGCTAAAACATCACTCAGCTCAACTTTTGCTTGATAAATTTGCTTTGGGCATCTGTTGACGCCAAGGTGTCTGTTGCTGAATTTTACATGCAACAAAAACCAAAAAAAAAAAAAAAAAAAAAAAAAAAAAAAAAAAAAAAAAAAAAAAAAAAGCAGAAACCACCAACAGTGCAATTAGATATTTTCAGCTTTAAGACCTTGCAAGGACTTTGGGATGATGTTTACGTTAAAACAATACGTCTGGTAAGCGTGGAGGCGCTGATGACACGCAGATGTAGCGGATGGAAAAGTTCAACCGACCTCCTCATAAAAAAGGAAAGAAAACCTCAAAACACACGGACACATTTTTAGGTGGAGAGTTTAACGTTTAAGTGTCCTGGATGAACACAGCATGCCTGGGACCACATGTCTACAATCCTAACACACTCTCCGACTACACCTACTTCCTCCACAGTGACCCTGGCTGTGACCCTCTCCCCCCATCCCCCCTAACTGCCTGTTAGTCTACTTATAGCCCAATCTTGCGGTCTAGCATTGCCGCCATCCCTAATTATTTGGCGTGTGGCTCACCATGCCCCTAATAAGCTGATGTGTTGTGGTTTACAGAGCGGGTGCAAAGTGCCTATGACTTCCAGCACCTAATTAAGCATTTAGGGCCACTTAAC